ACAAGAAATGCTCACAAGAACATTCAAGTTTAAAAATTCAAACTTAAAAATCACTTGTCGCCCATTCAAGTGAAATACAGAAACCCTCCTAGCTGAGACACTTCTGATCCTCATAGCCCAATTGGAGATCAATGCTTCCCAGTGATACCAACAACAATCAAGACTTAACAAGACTGCACACACAGCCCACAAAGGGTTACACCAAGACTGTCCACCTCAGGTAACTTGGAGGCTGACTCACTGAACCATATAGGACACCTTAGCACACAAAGCCACCCTACCAACTCAGGGAAGCTGTGAAAATGAAGGAAACAGATCACAGACAAAAGAAATGGAGGACAAGAAGCAACTAGATATAGAGTTCAAAACCATGCTTATAAGGTTTTTCAAGAATTTCCTAGAAAAGGCCAATAAAATAAACGAGACCTATGAGGATATGAAAAGGGATCAACTAGAAATAAAGAATATATTGTCTGAAATAAAAAATATTATACAGAGCCCTAAAAACAGAATGGAAGATTGCAAGAATCAAGTCAAAGATTTGGAACACAAAGAGCCAGAGGACACTCCTCCACAGAAGCAAGAAGATAAGAGTCCAGAAAGTTGAAGATAGTGCAAGAAACCTCTGGGACAATTTCAAACAAACCAACATCAGAATTATGGGGATTCCAGAAGAGAGAGAGCAAGATACCAAAAGAATACTGGAAGAAATAGTGACAGAAAACTTCCCCCACTTGGGGGAAGAAATAGACTTACAAGTCCAGGAAGTGCACAGAACCCCAAACAAAAGGAATCCAAAGAGGACCACACCAAGACACAACATAATTAAAATCCCAAGAGCAAAAGACAAAGAGAATATTAAAAGCAGCAAGAGCAAAGCAGGTAGTTACCTATAAAGGAGCACCCATATGATTGTCAGCTGATTTCTCAACAGAAACCATGCAGGCCAGATGGGAATGGCAAGAAATATTCAAGGTGATGAATAGCAAGAACCTACAGCCAAAAATACTCTACTCAGCAAAGCTATCACTCAGAATCGAAGGCCAGATAAAGAGCTTCACAAATAAAAAAAAAGCTAAAGGAGTTCATCACTGCCCAACCAGAATTATATGAATTGCTGAAAGGGGTTCTTTAGGAAGAGGAAGGAGATATAGATAAAATTATGATCAACAAATACTTAATTATCAACAAGTGAAACTAAAAGCCAAGAGAATTAAAAAACCTGATGAACAATATTAACTGGTGAATATAATAGAATCAGAGGTATGGAAGGGGAGTGGACTGACTATTCTCGGGGGAAAGGGGAGTGGGGGGTGCAGAAGAGCCTGAACAAAAACTGTGCACCTATGGATGAGGACAATGGGGGGTGGGGAAAGGGCAGAGGGTGGGGTGGGAACCTGGTGGAGGGGAGCAATGGAGGGGGAAAAAATGAGGAATATTTGTAATAATATGAACAATAAAGATTTATTTTTTTTTAAGTGAGAAAGAAAAAGAATAAAAATCACTTGTCAAGGGATTATGGAGAAGATTACAAGTTTGGTATTTATATGAGTTAGATAACCTCCAAGTATTTTTCCATCTCTTAGTTTCTGTGATTCCAGATTTTGTTCCAACTATGATCTCTCTCTCTCTCTCTCTCTCTCTCTCTCTCTCTCTCTCTCTCTCTCTTTCTCCCTCTCTTTCCTTTTAATATTTTGCTTCCTGCATTCTGACAGTGTGGTCTGAATTATGTAGTCTAAGCCTTATAACGTGTCTTCATAAAGAATAGGGCAATCAAAAGTACTGACAGTTAAGAATGGGAGTATTAAATCAGTTCAGTTGATAGTCTGACACGATGAATATTTCCTTTGACTAACAAAGGCAATCACAGGTTGTTTTTAACAGAGTAATCACTCAGGTAGGGACTTGAAAAAAATAGATAGAGGAAGATTGACTTGACTATATAATGATAGAAAAAAAAATTGACTTAGTTTATTCAGTGGGAGGAACAATATCAGTAATTGGGAAGTTTACTTCCTTGTAGACAAAAGGTGTATCTTGAGGTGTGTTTTGTTTTGTTTTTTTCTTACTCATTTACTTATTCTTTCAATCATTCAATCAGCAGGTATATTTTTGAAAACATAGGCTACGAAGGTTTCACTCTGTTGAAACTTCTCAACATTTCATACAAGTGAATTTCATAAAGACTTTACATGGACTTCACATCTTTCAAAATAGAATGTTACCTGCTTCTATTTTACATTCTGGCGGGCAAACAAACAATTTAAATACTTTTTCCTTTAAAATAACGCACTGTCAAAAAACGTGAGGCTCCGGTGAGTGGACATGTATGGCGGTCATCGGGAAACAGATGCACAGATGCCGTGCTTGTGACTATAGTCACTCTGTTGAGCCATCAGCTGGTCACCCCTACTTGTCAGTGTGGTCCGGTCTGTTCTGCATTTTAATTGTTATTCGAAGCTATATATTACTTAATGTACACTAAAGAAAAACAACAAGTTAATCACAATTATTAAATTAAATGACTTTGCAGATTCACTTCAAAGGCATCTTTATCAGACCTGAAGTTGCATTTATTGATCAAAAACCTTAGATATCCACTTAAGTTTTTGATAAACCTAAAACTGCCTTTTTAAAAAGCCTACTAATTTAAAAAAATTTTTAAATGCAATTCTATTCAGAATATAAACAAAATCTTAAATTTCAAGTTGTCTGTAGTATTTCAAAAGCCAATAGCAAAAGGCAAACTATAGTGAGAATTACATATGTAAGCCTATCTATGACCTCACTGGGTTAGTTAGAGAGAAGCATTTACATTGCAATCTAAAACAAAATAATAAATATATTAAGGTGAACCATTTAATTTGTATAAATGCAAGCTGCAGGAATTTCAAAATACAGGGTTTTATCTGCATTCAATACCAACCTGGTAGTTCGTGTTTTTTTTTTCTATATATTTTAATAGACATTATGACCACACCAAGCACAATATAATGTCATTTTAATTTGTCAAAAATGATCTTCCTTGTACATTTATTTAAAGAAAATTTTAAAGGGTGTCATTATTTTATACTGACTATTTCCAAAGGTTTTATTATATCACACAAAAACTACAAAGCAATTTTCTCAATTGTTAAGATTTCTCAAAAGCTATTTAGAAAAATTTTTTTTTAAATCTGGGAATCTACTAAGCTACTGAGAGTGAGAAATTTTCCCTTATTTTATTTACAGTTAAGAAATTGAATCATTTGCCCAAGGACAAACAACTAATAGGTGGCAGACTCTAGGTACAAATTAATGACCACCTGATTCTCAAATTCATGCTTATGCTGGTATGTGCCTGTGCTTACACAGTGGCAGTACGAATTGGGGGAAGAGGCGACTGAATGGTATTTCAAAGGCAGATTCCACAGGCAATGGTAATATACCAGAGGGATGGACGTTTTGACAAGGGTTAGAAATGTACTAAGGCTTCTAACTGAGAGATTTAGGAGAGTAGTGTTGCTACCATAAAAATAAATAAATATACAAACAAACAAGATGGGAATTTCATTTAAGTAAAAATGTGCTGAAACTGATTTTGGCCTTGCTGAGTGACAGGTAACATTAAGACTCACAGGTAGAGCCATCATATAGACTATTTGACAATATTAGGACTATTGAAAGTCATTGCCAGAAAGTAGATTTAAAATCCATTAACAGGGTAGTGGCTGAAGCCAGAAGAGTGAAAAGACCAGTGCCTTTACTCATCTGTAAAATGGAGGTAATATTTACCTTGCAGATTGTTGTAAAGTGTAAAGAGAATACAAAGAAAATTAGAATCTGAAAAAGGAAAAAAATCATCTAAGCCGCCAGGAACGCCCCACTTGTGGGTTTGAGAAGAAAAAAATGTAAGCGAAGAAAAAAAAATAAACAAAATAAAAACAAAAATATTAAAGGCGAACCAGGACAACATAGAATTTTGAAAACCAATAATAGACATGGCTAAAATTTTTTTGAGCACCTGGATCAAGTTTGCGCTCTGTGTTTTACATACAATATCTTATTTAATCCTCAGAGAGGGAGGTTTGTGTATCTCTAATGATAGAGGAGGACTCAGAGGCTTAGCAAAGGTAAGTCATATACCCATTGCTCAGCTGGGAAAAAGTAGAAACCATATTCCAGCCTCCAGAGTCTGTTTCCTAACCAGTGGTATCCAAAGTGCACAAAGCAAGCCACTGTGGGCAGAAAATATAACAATTACGATTATTGTAACTCATCCTTTTTAAATTGTATTTTTGTGTATAAAGTCATCCCTCTGTATCTGCAGGTTCTGCATCTGCAAATCCAACTCACCACAGATCAAAAATATTTTAATGGAATTTAATGAACAAACTGAACGACCAAGCAAAATAGGATAAGACTCAGATAAAGAGCAGGCAGACAGCCATGGGGGAGAGAGGAAGGAAGGGGAGTGGCGAGATGAGGGGAATAGAGGGGTAAGCAAAACAGAAGAAAATTACAGAGCTCATGGACATAACAACAGTGTAGTGATTGCTGAGAATGGGTAGTATGGAGGTGGAAAAAGACAGAGAGAGGATAAATGGTGATGGAAAAAAATAAAATAAATCTATTTGAAAAAAAATGTTACATGGTTGTTGACATGCACTTGTAGTAGGTCTGTTGTTTCCATGGTAGTGCAGCATAACAACTGTTTACATAGCATTTACATTGTATTAGGTATACTAAGAAATCTAGAGAGGATTATAAAGTATACAGGAGGATGTGGGTAGACTATGTGTAAATAATATGCCATTTTACATAAGGGATTTGAGCATCCTCTGACTTGGGCATCCAAGGGGGCATCCTGAAGTCAACCCATCATGTACACTGAGTGACTACTACTATCTTATACAACAGGCATCCTATTAGTATGGTAATATATGCATATCATACATGCATGCATACTTGCATGGGTTGGTATGTTGATTGCCTGTCGACTGGTTTAATGCTCTCCACAGATCTGCACTCCCGACTTGGTGGTATTCCTGGCTTGCACCAATCAGAGGCTCAAGGAAAGACTGCTGAAGCGCGCTGAGCAACAGGGGCGGCCTGATGACAACCTGAAAGCTACGCAACGGAGGCTAATGAACTTCAAGCAGAACGCCGCCCCGCTGGTGAAATACTTCCAGGAGAAGGGGCTCATCGTGACAGTAAGTGAGCCCTGGTTCTACGTGTCCGGGACAAGAACGATCTTCCTATCTCTCAGTAGCCCCTGTTCTCAAGTAGAAATCTACTTTACATTTGAAAAGTGGCTTTTTTTTGGAGGGAGGGTCAGGTTTAATTTTAAAAATGGGTCATTTTTACCTGGTTTGCCTTTATTAGATCATAATGGTAAAAATATGCACACTTTTGTTTAATTGACTTTATAAAAAATGATAACTTTTAACCTTGGTTAGAATTCCATAGCCCCCAAATCAAAAAGGATTTTGAAAAAACTGTTTGAATTACTTTAAGCAATACTCACCCAGTTTCTCAGCTCTTCTGTCGTTGGAAGCCTAACAAATTGATAGGCTTAAAAACACATAGCGGATATAGTGTTCTACATATTAGACTTAAATTGTAATTTGGGCTTCATCATAATGTCCCACGTAAAGAAATGAGATTTTGAGGACATGAAAACATTTCCTAAGGGTTTAACTTGTCATGAGGAAGTGCTACTGTCAAAAAACAGAAGGTGTTGATCTTTCTGCTCCATTGATACAATGCAAATATTAATATTTTCATGAATGTTTAGTTTGTTTTATGGCTATTGATACTCAGAATGCCAATGAAGAATGCGGCTGAATCATTAATTAATATAATTACTAGAATATAGGAAGATTCGGCTAAATTTATGATCCCCATAACCTCATGGATTCAAGTATTAAAACAGTAGAGGAGACGAGGATCATAGGATCTGAAGAAGGAATTTTAGGGAAGAAGACATTAAAATTGGGGCCACACCATTAGCAGCTGGCTGGTGGCCAACTCAGCAAACCCTTCTCTTAGCCCTTAGGTCCCTCCTTGTCTGATGGGGTTGCAGCCCCCGTAGAGAATCTGATTAAAGTGACCATGCCCATTCCAACACAATACATGTACAATGTTTCCCACAAATTTTAAATAAATCTACTGATGCCCATCCACAGAACTCCTATGACCTAACAATTACTGGGTTCAAAATCTCTTCATTAGACTGAAGTGCTCTTAAATCTGAAAGAGATAGCCCATGACATTTGAATAAGAATCTCTTTGCAGTCTTCTTAGCACTGCAAAGAAATATTTATTAGAACTTGCTCTTTAAATCGAAGTTATGTCAGAGAATTGTAAATCCTATCTGAAAATTGTTTACAGTGCCAGAAGAGTTCATTGTATGGTCTCAAAGAGACCTTAAGTTAAAGGAAAGATTTCAGAAAACCAGGACGGATGTTTCTGTAGCTATTTGTTGCTGGGGTTACTGCTTGTTTCTCTTGCAAATTACCAATGCTGAGTTCTGCATGCAAAGAAGAAATTGACCCTACAGAGCAAACCCCAAAGGCTAGGTGCAGAGCCGGAGTTTTAACTGATGTTTGCAAGGCTTGAAGGTATTAATGCAGCGTCTCTGATGACTCCCTGCTTGTCAAGTTCGGCATCGCGAGCCAAGCAGATTTCCCCAATGAATGCAGAGTGGGGATTGTTAATTTACTAACATTTTGCATAGAGGTGAAATGCCATCGCCTCTAATTGAGGGAGTTGATACCAATGTGGATGACAGCCTGTAACCTCATTGCTAAAACCAAATGAGCCAGAAGATAAACGCTTTTATTTACTGCCAGAATACCTGCCTTGGGAAGTTGCCTTTAGAAATGTGGTGAGTATGAAACACAGGCTGAGCTCAGGAGAATGTAATTTGAAAATCAGTTTGACAAAAGGCTGCCTCCTGAACCACATGTCCTCCTTCAGAACCTGGGCCATGGTTCACCTTTGGAATTAAATATGGTTGCTTGTCTACTTTTACAGATGAGTTAAATAACATAAAAATGGTTATCTTTATTCATCACAGCATATTAAGATGTTAATTAAAATCTTGGGTTAAGGTAACAGTAGTTTTTCTTTCTTTTTGCTTCTGCCTGTCCTTCCTAAGTTATTCATTTATTCACTCAGTATTTATTGAGAACCATTGGGTGCCAGACATTCTGTTAAGTGTTAAGGGTGCAAAGTTGAATAAGCACAAGGTAAGGATCTTTCTTTTATTCACTGGCATATCCCAAACACCTAGAATGGTCCTTTTCTGGTAAAGAGTATGCTCACACTAAATGAGCAGAGCTTACAGTCTACTGGGAAAGTGATGTTAAACATGAGTCATTGAGTGTGATGGCTGGCTCAGGACTAGAACGGGTGGAGAACCTTTTCTCTGCCAAGGACCATTTGGATATTTATAACATGATTTGAGGGCCATACAAAATGATCAACTTAAAAATTATCCTGCTGTATTTGGTCAAACATTTAGTTAACTCTCCTCTAATGCCTTGGCAGGGCCAGACCGAATGTTTCACCGGCCTTATGTGGCCCGAGGGCCAGACATTCCCCGCCCCAGGAGTAGAGAGAGCCTCCCATGTCATACACTGTGTCATTATGGTATTCCCCATAATGACTAGAACAGGCCCTCTCCTCCCTGCAGGTACGCTTCATTGTCTTGGTTGGAGGGGCTTAAGGATCACATGGAGTACAATCCATCCTCTGTCCCATTGAGAAAGTTCATCTTGGTGCTCCTCTTCTCTGGGGCTTGGAGTCCGAAACTTCTCACTTGGAATTTCAGCCCCTCTGCCATTTAATACATTCCTGATGCTCTAGGACTTGGTCTTCCTCTATAAATTGGAGATGATATTACCTGCTGTGCAATGTTGTAGCACAGGTGAAATGAGAGGATGCAGGTGATTTGGCAGATGATGGCAATGCAGTCCCATGGCCTGGTTCAGAATTCAGCTGCACCACCTGCCACCTGTGTGATCTTCTGCGGGTCACTGATCTTTTCTGTGACTGACTGACCTGTAAAATGAATATAATTATTGATCCTTCCTCAGTGTAATTTGAGGGGAGTAAGTGGGTGTCAAATTCTCAGAATAGTGCCTGGAACATTGCGAGGGCAATTCAAATGATAGCTATTATTTTATTTTATTTTTTTATTTCTTCTCTCTTTCTCCCCCCTCCATTGCCTGTCTTTTGGAACCTGCACTTACCACTAACAATTTTGTGCTCTTTGAGGGGATTATGTTACCTTTTCTTCAATAGATAGATTACTGAAGGAATCTGAAGTGAAGAATTTAGGTTTTAAAAACATCGTGCCAAATTCATTTTTTTTCTTAAAAGTGTCTATTAATCAGTTACAAAATTGTGTCAGTGTTTCCTTTAACTTCTATATCATCTGTGTAATCCAGCTATAGAGTGGCTGTGTCTGAAAAATATAGCTGAATTGTTACAAAGTGCAATTGATTTTTTTTTTTTTTTTACTTCACCATTGCCTGTATCTCTTGGCAGATTTGACTAAAGAACAAACCCAGTGTTTGAAGAAGAAACGTAATCAAAATAGCCAGGAAAAATGGGCTATTGCCTGAATACTGTATCTTATTGAGATGGCTCCCCACATGGGGTCTCTTTATTTTTACCCTTTTATCATATCCTTCTGTGCACAGCCATCTGTGCAGGTATGAATGAAATGATATGCAATCACAATGTTCGTATATTAGGGACTTCACAGAATCTTTTCACACAAGCTTACACATTGTTGTTTTTTTAACTTACCATAAGGTTGGATGCCACTGCTCATCATGTCTTTTACAGCATTCTGCTTCTCATTAGGATGCTGAGAGTTCCCAACATTTGTCAGAAGTTTCTCTTCGAAGTTTGAATATTCCTGGGATTAGCAGAGATGCTTGTGCAGTCTTACTGGATAGCTGTGTCTTATGACACTTCTGAGCACTTGGACTTGATGAAACTGTATAATTCTTAAACAATAATTCCCCTTTCTAGATTTTTAAAGCCTCAATAATATGTAGTGTAGTGATGTTTTTTGTCTTTATTTTTACTATAAACTATAAAAAAAAAATTCGTCTTTGTTTGAATCGTCTTCACTGTTGGAACCATTACCGGAAAATCCCCTGTTGAGCTTTGGCTGCCTGTCGCTGTGTCCAATAATGAAGGCAGGGTTGAGTCATCTAAGGCGTTTATTGAGAAGGCAGCCAACCAAGAAGATAGGGAGATTACACACATTCAAATCCAGGCTTACAGCAAGGTACAGGGGACAGGGTTTTTAAGGGGAAGGAGCTAGGGTGAGATCAGCCCTGGAGGTCCTTAGTCATCAGCTATTATCTTTATTCATTAGGCGAAAAGATGATGGTGATGAGATGATGGTAATGAGGTGATGGTGATGAGATGATGGTGAGGAGATGATGGTGAGATGGTGGTGATGAGGGGATGGTGGTGAGGTGATGGTGATGAGGGAATGGTGGTGAGATTATTGATGGTGATGAGGTGATGTTTTGACTCCTGGTGGGTCACTCTGATGATCAGTTTTGCCTGCTGGATTCACAGCTGAGTCACCTCCCTAATTGCTTTGCATAGGCCTTGAAAGGAAACTTAAGAAAAACTTAACCCCCTATTCACATAAGTATATATGTTCTAAGATTTAAAATAAGATAATTACTTCTCAGATTAACTCAGGTGCTCTATCTATCAGATTATAGGTTCCCCCTATCAGAAACCCTACCCCCCATTTTTTTATTTTTTTTAAGAAATAGCAATAATTAAGACAGGTCAAATCTTTGTAAGTTTGATAAACTCTTTATAAAAAAAAAAAACTACATATGGTTGTTTTGTTTGTTTTTAAGAATAGGATTTTTTTAATGCCTTAAAAATAATAGGGTCAGATATAATGTTTATATTATCATTTTCTGAAATGCATTGTGCCATTGGGTCTTCTATTCAGTCATAAAAATGTGCAACTTTCCAGGGAAATAGTGTCCCATGAATAAGTACTACACAATATGGCTGATAAGCAGTGAAGTGAGCAAATGGCCATTTTCCTTCTGGACTTCTTGTAGGAGGAAGAAAGAGAAGCAAAGCTTGACGTGAGAAAGAAGCTGTAGTCAGAGGATGTACGAAGAGGCTGCTAATTAATACCAGGCTAACTGACTGG